ATATATATAACCATCTATTATCGTTTAATATATTATTTAAATATTTTCATTTTTTTCTCTCGTTTTGCCCATGCGTAACAATGCCTGCAATATTAGTTTTATAATTATGAATATCTAATTGAAAATTTTAATAGATTAGGAAGTGATGCATATTTATCTAATTGAAAACTTAGCTGATCGGGGCAATCTTGCTGACCACTTCCAATAAAAGTTGACCAATCTACAAAATCAAACCTAGCCGACCGGTAGTATATTTGTGACCTAGCCGACCAGTGAGCCTCACTAGCATAGCCAACTGACAATTTTCTCCAAGCTTAGCCGACCGACAGTGCTTAACAAAGACTTGCTAGTCCAACCAGGTAAGCTTAAGAGAAGTCACTTTGGACCCACATATGCAAAATTTCTATAATAACATATACAATCCCCACTAAAATAAGAGTATAATTATACTAACTTTTTTTTTATAAATAAAAGATCATTATATGAATAAAGGTTTACACAATTCTCTCAAATTACTATTCATTCTCAGAACATTTCTCCCACAATCTTTCTGTTATAGACAAATTCAACTTCAACAAATATAAAATAAATAAATAAAAAATCATCAATTTAAATATATTTTATGTATTTTATAATTATATCTTCTCACACTGCATTCCTTTTGCAGGAAACCAAAAAGACCACTAAATTATTTCAAAACTGCCCAACGAAGAATTGAAGTCCTCCATCCCCCCCTCCATTCTCCACTCCTTCCCCCTCAAAAACTCCACTCTTTCTTAACCGCCCGCCATGCTAAACCAAAATCACACAATCGAATCCCAAAACCAAGCCGAAATAGCCAAATCCTCACCACCACCACCACCATCTTCTCCTCTCCCTCCCTCCCTAACCCCATCCCCTTCCCATGAATTCTCCTTCACAATCTCCCTCCACCATCACAATTGCTCCCCCACTCCTTCCCCACTCGACCTCGCCCCCGCCGACGAAATCTTCTTCCACGGCCACCTCCTCCCCCTCGACAAATTACAAACCTTTAGGAACGGGGAGCCCAATCCTAACCATCACAACTCCAGCAATATTAAAAGCAACCCCAAACCTTCCTTCTCCTCTTTGGTTCATCTCACCAAGTGGCTGAAGAGCAGCGACGTCGAGGACACCAGAAGGAAGAATAAAAAGAAAAAGAAGTCCTTTGGCTTTAGCTGCTGTTGGAAGAAAGAGAAGGAGGACAGACATCACTGCTCGCTCTCTGTCACCGCTAATGACTCTCGAGAAGGATCATCACGGTGGCGGTGGATAGGGGAGATTTCGCCGCCGGTGACGATATGGACATCACCGACTTCTGTGGGTGCTGGCACTTCGTCGGAGGAGAGCACGATGGCGGAGCTCCAGAACGCGGTTCAGGCAGCCATTGCGCACTGCAAGAAATCCATTGCCGTTAAGGAGGAAAAACTTAATTGAAGATAAATTTGGATGGGGAAATCTTCTTCTACATCTGTTATTTAAGTCGTGTATTGAGAGTTGTGGGATGGAGATTAAAGCTATTTATTGGGAAATTGATGTAAGGAATTGTTACTATGATTTTCGTCGTTAATAAAGATCTTGCTTCTGTATCTCTCTTTAAATGAAAATTGAAAAAATATCACATTGCGGGATTTTATGTGAAGTATTATTGTATATGTTGTAAAATATGCACAATAATGTAGCACGCGCACATTGTCAAAATGCATCACGTAATATTCTCTCTGAAAATTGGCCTGTTTGCTCAGCTCTTCATGCATGTTAGCCATAACAAAATTTAACACGAGGGAAAAAAAATACTCACACACACACACACACACACACATATATATATATATGTGAGAAAGAGCAACCATGGCTCCTTATGTGTTAATATAAGATGAGGTTACAAAAAGAGGGAGAGAAAAATGATCCCCGCTAAAATAAAAAAAGAAATACATGAAGTCCTAGGGGTTTCTTTATCCGCATTACAACTCTACACAATAAAGATAAAAAAGAGAAGCAAGAAAGGTATATCATACCCAAATTACAAGTAAATGTAAAGTAGAGTGCAAAATCAGCCGTGAGAGTTGCAAAAGCCAAAAAGACTGTCAACCATAGTAGTTGGAATCCAAACCGAGAGTCATAACATAGCAATCAATCCTTTAGCATCCAACACGTAATAAAAAGGGACCAAGGGGCAAAGCCCAAAAATAATAACGAAGGAAACTGCATAAGAATCCATCATCTCCTCAAATAAGGAGTATCCATAATATCACTTAATATATAACTTTTAAGGGGAAAGGGGGGGGGGGGGGGAATGCCAACCAGGGCATCATTTAACTTCAGTTTAGAAAGCCAATCTGCAGGAGTATTTCCCTCTCTATAGGTGAAAGTGAAAAGGATTTGAAGCTGGTTGCTATGTATCTCATTATAAATGCGGTGTAATAAACAAGTTATAGTCCAAACCGACTCAGACATCTTGAATCTGTTTCAATGATAACACTTTTGAAATTAAAAGAGACACTGACCTTTAAAGCCAAAAGAAGAATATAACATTCAACTTCAAGAGGAGTGGAGGAAAAAAATAGTGAAGCGAAAAAAAACTTGGCAAATCCCATAAGAGTCTCTAAACAATCCACCAGTACAAGCAGACATATTAGACCAACTAGCATCAATGTTGGCCTTAAACCACCCAGGTTTAGGTGGTAACCATCTGACCAAAACATGTCTCATACTTCCCTCAATATTAGATTTAGCAGTAGCATTATTTATAGCTCCAACAGCTTTATAATAATTTGCCATAATGAAAGAGCAGGCGTATGTCAGAGGTGGGGGGGGGGGGGGGGGAGAGTGATGTTTATAATCATTACGAGCAAGCCAAATGGACCAAAGAACCATTAAAGGAAAATAATTCAACTTAGGGGGAAAAGAGGTAACACCTTGCCAAGCCACAAAAAGTTTATTTAATTTAAAGGGACTAGGCCAGCAGACTCCAAGTAGTGCACCAACAGTATGTCTCCATCTTAGGGGGGAAAGAGGAAGTACCCTGCCAAGCCCCAAAAAGTTTATTTAAACTAAATGGACTAGGCCATCATATTCCAAGTAGCGCACCAACAATATTCCAAACTTGCCTAGCAAAACAACATTAAAAAAATAAATGTTGGGATGATCAAGCGTCACTCTTACATATATAGCATATAGAAGCCAACTTCAGCCCCTTTAGCTTTAGGATGTCATCAAGAGGCAAGAAGGAATGAAAATATCCCCGGAGGAAAGAGAAATGAAAGAGTGCCATATAGATGAGCTCCATTTCCATTTGTGAAAGCAGTTAATATTTTTATGTAACATTTTAGTTATAGAACCTGTAGAAAGAAATTTCCACATAGGTTTATCTCTACCCCCATTGAGAATTGAGGTAGTGGAGACAGAAGTAGCTAAATCACCCACCAAGGATCCCAACATATTAATATTCCAATTTCCACCATCGCAAACATCAGAAACCAACAGGGTGTGTGTGTGCGTGGGTGTGTGTGTGTGTATATATATATATATATCATTAATTTGAAGTTTGATAAGAGACGTTTTAATATACATAATTACTTGTATGTTCATGTGACGTTAGTATTTGAAATGAAGAAACATTAATAAAATATCATGCAACATATATATATATATATATTAAAAGGAATAGTCAGAGGCTATCATACAAACCCCCAACCACACTTAATGTGTCTAACAATTTGAGTACCACCGTCCATAAGACGACCGTCACCATAGGAGGATTCAAACCCCCGACCTCAAGGGACTTACACCTCACATCGCAGATGCCAACCAATAAGTCGGGGAGTGCGCTACACACACAGATATATATATATATATATATAAACATGAAAAAAAAATTAATAAGAAAGATTCAATCTCTTAATTGTGTGAATCGTACATTTGCATAAAAGAGAACCGTACATTGACTTAGCAGTTTATACTTAAATTCCGTCTCTTCAATGACACCCCAATCCACACATAAACGACGAATCTAACACCCTGCATAAAATATATGGGATATCATAAAAAAAAAATTGTAATAGGTTATCCATATCTATGGAATTAATGCTTGATGACATTTGGACTTCTAACAGTTCTTTTAATAAATAATTTATTAATTCGTATTTATTATTCATTTATTTCAATTGAGAAAAAAAGCATCCTTTTTATTTTGAACTATATGATCAATTTAATGGCTCTTTGGTTGGATGTAAATAGAAAATCTATTTTAAAAATTATATTTTGTTTTGAAAATAGAAGTCATTGTTTTCCTTAGAAAAAATTGAGAAGAACTAGAAAATTGAATTTATTTGCCGATATATGATTACAACTAACTCCATGTTGAATTTAATAAATTGTATCATTTTCTAAATAATATTTCTAAGCTCAAACAATCACTTGTGTTCTTACTAAATAATATAAAAATTCTAAAAAAATATCATTAATTAGTTTAAGGATATATATAATAGCACAAAATTAAGAGATGAATTAAGCATCAATTGGCTTTAATTATCTACTCTTGGATAATCTAAGATAACTACGTCTAAGTTGATTGCTCCACAGTGGCTGTTATAGTTTAGCGCATTTCAATGTTCAATTCTGTTCTATAACCTTAAATACTTACAGATTGCACCTTTTGGTGCTGTGCGCGCGCGAAAGAGTTTCCTACAGAGTCACCTCGTCCACTGCAGGTGGAGACGAACTAGATTAGATATATGCTTGAGGATATTTGTGTTGATTTGAGTTGGGTGATTTAGTCAAGGAATTCTGATAAGAATTAGTTTTAGGGCATTTTTTTTAACTAAATTTTCTTGGGGCATTTACATGCATACCATCAAATTGGTATGTTCTTACATACCTAACATCAATACTTTATAGTTCATATTAATATCTCCCAAATCTTTTATAACGTACAAAAAACATTAATATTTTAATTTTTATAAATGAAATAAAAAATGGCATATATATCAAAATTTAAGCTTAGGAGTTAGACACACGTATATATATATAAACACACACACACACATAGAAATTGAGTGATATGTATGTAAACCTTTTAATTTTCTGACAAGAAAGTTACAAACATCACATATTTTCTAGTCATTTTCTTTATCTAATGTCTAAAAATTAGTATTTTTATATATAATATTTTGATGTCATGACTTATTTACAATAAATAATTGTGATAGTTTTGATATAGTATTAAAGTATAAAGCGTCTTTAATGTCAATAAAAAAATTTATGTGTTAGATTTCAAATACATGAGATGGTGTGATATGTATGTAAATGACGCTTTCTACCAGTCCACATAATCTGTAAAATAATATATATGTGATAGAGAGGGGAGTGTGTGTAATTTTTGTTTTTTAAATATTAAGTGATAGATTTTAAATATATGATTTAAAATTTGTGACAGAAAAAACAATTTTGCTTAATTGCTATTGGCTAGCTAGGTTTAAGATCATTTCAACACGGTCATATATTAGAGAAAATATTAGGTTTGGCGAACCCCACGACCACCCTCATACTCTTAGGGAGGAAAAAATATTACATACATAATAAGCATGTGCGGACATCAATCAGAATGTAATTCATAGGGAATATATTCTAATGTGTACAACACTATATGAATTTTATTGATTGTAATATTTTTCCATTGAAGATTTATAAGCATAAAATTGAATTTTAGTATATTTTTTTAGATTAGTAGAATATAAAATTGTTTCATTTAATATTAATCTGAAAGTAAATTTAGATTTTAAGTTTATTCTCAATAAAAAAAGTTATCAAAATAATCTAATGATAAAATTTTTTTATTTAAAACTTCAAAATCATGTACGCCAAAACTTCTCCGTTCAATTTATATTCTTATTTAATAGGGGGAAAGAAAAAAAATTATTTCACCTTGCAGATTTTGTTTAAAAGGAAAAAAAAAATGAGATTTGTCAAAGATTAGATGCCGTAAAATGATAATTTATTGTTTTAGTGTTGTACAAAGATTAAATACACACATATATGATTGAAAAGTAGTAGGAGGGGACAACAATATTTTTTAGTTAGAAAAATCTGAAGAGAGAAAAAAATCATGAGGCATTGCGCATTAAAAGTAATACATTATGTGTTTGTAAGTACATACATTCACCTATTTCATGAATTAGAAAAGATTGAATTGTAATGTTGATATTAAAAATGTATAATAGTAGTTCAGCTATCATAGTCGTAATTGGGCTATAACAAACATAGTTGATCATGAAAATATGATTGATGGTTACAACAACTATAGTTGGCCACGTATACTGTAATTAGAAGCTGTAATGATAACATGAAGTCAGTTAGGAAGGCTGTAGTTGGTTACTTCACAGGTTGTAGTTGGCAACAAAGGCCATGATTTGAAACTGCAATATCATTAGTTGGTCCCAGTGATTGTAGTTGGTGCTGTAATAGTGTCAGTTGGCTACAAAATAAAAAGTTGAAACATTTTAAAAGCAGTAGTTGGCCACGTATGTCGTAATTGATGGTTGTAATATTTGCAGTTTGTCACATAAGCCGTAGTTGGTGACTGCAA